GTGTGTCGTCCTTGGCAGAGGCCATGCTGGTGCGTGTGCTGCTGCAGCAAGCCCTAATAACTGCATACTGACTTTTTTTTTTGGCGGAACCGGGGATTGAAATCAGATCCTTGCGTTTGCCGGTCAAGCGCTTATCCTACTGAGCCATCTCCCCGGCCCCTACTGACTTATTTTTGGTCTGTCTCTTTTATTTTATTTTTCTAATTTTAATTTATTTTTTTATTTTTTTTATTTTAGGGAAAAGTCTACAGGGTGTTCAGGGTCTCACTACTAGATCGGACTCGTAGTGAACTGCCTGTTTACAGCCTCCCAAGAGCTGGGATTACAGGTGTGCGCCACCACGCCCAGTCTCAATTGGCTCAGTGTGTCCTGGGGGGCAGGGCCAGCGTGGCAGACCCAGGGATGAATCCCTGGCCCTGCACCTGCTTGCAGGCATTTTAATCCGCTGAGCTATTTGGCTGGCCCTTGGTCTGTCTTTTTGAGCCAGGGTCTCACTCCATAGTTTAGGCTGGCCTTGAACTATGTAGCCCAGGCTGGTCTCCAATTTGCAGCAATCGTCCTGCCTCAGCCTCACAAGTGTTACAGACATGCGTGTCATACTCAGCTGCTTACTTACATCTTCAAAAGCAAAAAACACCTAAACCGAACAAGCATTAACCAACACTTAGACATTAACCAACAGAATTTTCTAGGCCATTAAAGAATATCTGAATCAAGTCTCTCAGTGGGTTTTAAAAGTATTTGGTCAGAACTGTGAGCTGCAAAACTTTCTGATTAGTCTGCAAGAACAGCTGACAAACTCAAGAAACAGACTTACTCTTCTAATTTCAGTAAAAACCCAAGGAGGGGACTGAAGATGGCTGGCTGGCTTTGCTCCGTGCAGAGGTACGGACTATAAGATGAGGAAGTCCAAGTGCTCACAAAAGCAGACCCAGAGGGAGGAGCCTGCATGCCTGTGCCCGAAAGGTCAGACCACACAATCTGAAAGTCACAAATACTTAACACGACCAGTGGCACACTTAGAAAGGATCCACAACTCCAACTAAAAATATAAATAGGGGCTGGAGAGACAGCTCAGCGGTCTAAGCACCTGTCTGGCAAGCGCAAGGACTAGGTTCAATCCCCGGTACCACGTGCCGTGTGCATGCCAGGACGCTGGTGCTCTGCAGCCACCAAAATGGAGTGGTGGCGCACACCTGTAATCCCAGTGTTGGGGAGGCTGAGACAGGAGGATCACTGTGAGTCTGAGCTGCGCAGCAAAACTCTGGACTAAATAAATAAATTATATACATATGAAAAGGGGGAGCACTTAGGCATCTTTAGTAGCATTTTTTTTTTTTTTCCAGTACTGGGGATTAAACTCAGGCCCTTGCACTTGCCAGGCAAATGCTTATTCTACTGAGCTATCTCCCTGGCCTTGTTTTGTTTTTTATGTATTTGGTACAGGGTCTTACTACATAGACTGGACTTGTAGTGATCCCCGTTTTCAGCCTCCCAAGTGCTAGGATTACAGGTGGGCGCCACCATGCCCAGTCTCTATCACTGTCTCGGCGCGCCGCAGGGGCAGGGCTGGCGTGGTAGGCCAGGGATCCAACCCCTGGCCACTGCGCTCTGCATAAGCAGGCCCGTTAGTCCACTGAGCTATCTGGCCGGCCCTTGTTTTGTTTTTGTGTGGTTCAGGCTGGCCTTGAACTTGTGTTCGCAGGGACATGGTGGTACAGCACGGAGGCCTCCAGTTCTCGGAGGGTTGGGGAGCTGCCCTTCCCACTTTCAGCACTGTCTTCTACCCTGGGCTTCTAAGGGTTTTGTGTGCGTGGCCAATAAATAAACGTCTGGGACTGTGTTCATTTCACTTTTCCTCTTTTTTGTGGTGCAGGCATTGCACACGAGGCCTCATATACAGGAAGCACACCCCTGCCTAGCCCACTCTCCTTCCCCTACCTGCTTTTCTTTGAAACGTCTTGGTATGTAGCCCAGGCTGGCCTTGTCCACACACTAGAGACCCAAAAAATCCAGCCGAGGGCCTGGATCCCACCCAACGTCCTCCCCGAGTCCCGCTGAGGCCTAGAGAGCGCGACAGCGTCTCATGCAAGCCTGTACCAAGATCTGTGCTGGGAAGGCCCAAAGGTCAGGGGTGGAAGCCACAAAGCCTGTGCCAGCGGGCTGAGGGGTCTGCATGGAGCCGGGAAGTGATGCTCGAGGCAAGGCCCAGAGCTCCCCTGGAAAGAACCACAGCCCTCCTCAGTGACATCGGGGACCCGAGCTTGTCTGATGATTGGAGCGGCTGAGTTCCTGTCAGCAAAGTCAGCGGGACAAGCTTCTCCAGGAGAATTAACAAAAAGACGAAACAAAATAAAATAAAACAAAAAATCCACCTGCCTCAGCCTCCTAAGGGCTAGGATTACAGGCCTGCACCACCGTGGTCAGCTTTTCTTTTTCTTTTCTTAGAAGTTCTGCTGCCTCATCCAGGGCAGCCTTGAGCTCTTGGGCTTAAGTGACCTCTCGTGTAGCTGGTACCACTTGGCACTTACTTTTTTTTTTTTTTTTTTTTCAGTACTGGAGATTGAACTCAGGGCCCTGAGCTGCTTATTCTACTGAGCTATCTCCCCAGGCCCACATAACTTTTTATATATTGTTCCTTTTTTATGGCAGAGTTATGATGAACATACTACTTTGGGGTAGCAGTTCATACCATGTCCATGAACTACACAGTCATACATTAGGGATGTGCCTGCTGCCAGTATTATTTATTTTGGTACTGGGAATTGAACTCAGGACCTTGCGCTTGCCAGGCAGGCACTTACACCACTGAACTATCTCCCTGACTCTTGGTCTTTTTGAAACAGGGTCTCACTATGCAGTTCAGCCTGGCTTTTGATAGGTTTTTTTCAGGTGCGTGGTGCAGCAGAAAAACAGGCAGAAGAAAAAAGAGAAAGGGGCTTTATTTTCTCTGAGGACACGGAGAGAATTTGGGGAAGCTGGGAATTCTCTGGATTGGAACAAAAGGAGACTGAGGCTTCTACAGCCTTCTTTCAGGGGTAGAGTCCAAAGGGGATGTTTGGATATACATGAGGGAGCTGATTGGGGGTCTTCCCTGAGACGGGGGGAAGGGTGAAGGGAAACTACTCTGGGCTGAGTTGGAGAAGGGGAAGTGGTCTTGGGGAAGATGGGCTTTTGTTTAAGGGCACCAGCCATTTTATTTTATTTTTTTTTAAATTATTTATTTATTTATTACATTTATTTATTGTGTGTGTGTGTGGCCAGCTCAGCCCACCAGGGGGCGAGGCTGGCTGGCATGTGGTGCTGAAGGATCGAACCGCGGTCCTTGTGCTTTGCCAAGCTTGTTCCAAGTAGCTGCTTTAGACCACTGAGCCATCTCTCCAGCCCACCAGCCATTTTAGATGACCACCATAATGATTTTAGCAATTCATATTAGGGCCAGAACCTATCAGCTTTCAGCTGGTCTTGAACCTGAAATGATTCTCCTGCCTCAGCCTCCCCAGTGCTGAGATTACAGGCATGTGCCACCAGGTCTGGCTTCCCTGCCAGTATTTTTAATGCTATGAGCATGTGGAAAAATATGTTTGCCATTTACTGGTTTAGATAGTTTTTCACAGGTAGGCAAGGAGAAATAAAAGCATGTGAACTAAAGCACTGTCAGGGAAACAATCTAAATGCTCAACACAAGTACCGGTCCATCAGCGGGGCACGATGGTGTACAGCTAGAATCCCGGCACTCAGAAGCTGAGGCAGGAGGGCTGTGGCAGGGTTGCAGCCAGCCTGCACTACACAGCCAAGTCCTGTCCCTATGGATTCCCTAGATCTATTCAACAAGCAGTGAAACACCAGTGGGTTAAGCAAGGGGCGAGAGGTGCACAGATCACGATGGGTTTGCCCAGCTCCATCTGGAAGGGAGAAAGGGCCATGGCAGAGTGAAAATTATGACACACGAGCACAGTGTGCTACACTGTGCACACACACAGGGTGGGCAGCACCGCAGTCCACCAATAGTGGAGGAAGGGCTTTAAATACATTTGTTTCATTTTTGTTTCAGGGCTGCCCATTGAATCCAGAGCCGTGATAAATACATGTCCTATTGCTAAACTATAGCCCTAGCCCCAAACCCAAATAGGTTTTCTTTTTTCTTTTCGGAACCAGGGATTGAACTCAGGCCCTTGCACTTGCCAGGGAAGCGCTTATTCCACTGAGCCATCTCCCCAGCCCCCTTAAGAAACTATTAATGTGCCTAACAACCTTTTTGTTCTTTCATCCTATAGGACTCAGACATTTTTTAAATCTCAAAGCACCTTTTTTTTTTCAAGTACACTCCAAGGAATTTTGCACTATTTTTTTTTTTTTTCATTTACATCCGTAAATTTATTTATTTATTTTTAAAGTTGTCTTTGCTAGGTGTTTTTTTTGGGTTTTTTTTTGTATTTAGTACAAGGTCTACAGGGTGTCACAACACAGATTGGGCTCAGTGATTCTCCTGTTTTCAGCCTCCCAAACGCTGGGATTACAGGCACTGTCTCAATCGCTGTGGCAGTGCCCCAGGGGTGGGGCCATCCCGTGTCTTCCTAAGCAGGCGCTTAAATCTGCTGAGTTATCTGGCTGGTCCACAAAGCCCCCTTTTATAGTGCACAAATCCACTGGTTGTTTTCCTGTATGTTTCTCATTTGCCTATACGCATGAATATGTTTCACACAAATTATTTGAGGCCGGGTCTCACTGCGTGGCGCAGCGTCTCCGAACGACGCGGCCCAGGCAATGCTGCTTCTGCCTCCCAAGCACTGCGATCAGTGTGTGCGACCACGCGCAGCCTACGGTGAAGTTTTAAAACCTCGTGTTAATTGCTACTTTGGTACTAAACTAGCTGTGTTCGTTACTTTTCTCTTGTTGCTGAGACAAAATACCAGATGAGGGAAAGTTTACGGGGCTCAATTTGTGGAGGTTTCAGTCCGCAGTCAGCTGGCTCCAAGGCAGGATGGCAGGATGGCATGATGGAGGGCGGGCAACAGCTCCCGGCTGGGCCGGAAGACCGCAAAAGCAGCAAGAGCAAAACGGGAGCTGCGGCGGAGAGCAAGCCCCCTGGCCTCCCTTATACTGTTTCCAGGCTCCCCGCCAGGAGCAGACGCAGGCTCACGCCCACAACAACCCCCAACCCCACCCCACCCCGCACTGACCTCGAATCATTCCGACCCTAGAAGCCGGCCCAGCGGCCGCACGGGGCTTAGGGACATCCGGACGCACCACAGCACCGGCTAAGGCAGGTGTTCTCAAAGTGTAGGGGTGGAGGCCTTCTTTCAGGCTGTGAAGTGTGTCCACAGCTCTGAAGATCTCTGGTCAGCTGACCATAGGGGGGGCACGTCTGTAACCCCAGCAACCACGCAGGCCGCGGCAGGAGGACCACGAGTGTGATGCCACCCGCCCTGGGCAAGTTAGACTCCAGCAACAGAAGAAATTCCAGGGGCGCAGCTCGGCGGTGCAACACTCGCCTCGCACGCACGAGGCCCTGCTTCATACTCGCCACCGGGACAACAGAAGTCCTCTGAGGACTACAGCCCTGAGAACAGCATTTGCAAGGTCCTGTAAAAAAGAAAACAGAAAAGGGGACATCTGAGGACACCACGCGGAGGCCAGTCGCGCCCCAGGTGGGGCGCGCGCAGACCGGACACTGACGGGCACGGCGGCCCAGCTCCTCGCTTGCCCCCGTGACCCGCAGGGTCCAGCCACGCGCACATCCGGGGCTTTCCGGGCGCCCCTGGTCCTGCGGGAGCCGCCGCTCTGGGCCCCGCGAGCTTCTCGGTCCCCGGCGGCGCCCTCCGGCCTCCTCCTCAGGAAGAAGCCCGGCTAGTGCGCGCGCGGCTGCTCCGTCTGCCCAGCCTACCACCTCTGAGGCGCGGGCTGCTGACAGCCGCGTCTGTTCGTAGGGTTCGGCCACAAGCTGGGAAGAAGGCCGGCGTCGGGGCAGAGCCCGGGCCGCCTACCGCGCTTCGGGCCACGCGGAGCCCGCCCGCTGGCCGCGTCACCGCGCCCGCCC